AAAAAAAAAGAATCAGAACATAAATCATAATACAAAAGAATACCAAAACATAAGAAACTCAAAATGCTGGGTCAAAATGACCGGACAGTCTTGGTCGTTGTGTCCTTGGGCAAGACACTCTGGCCTACTGGTGTTGGCCAGAGGGGCCGATGGCGCGATATGGCAGCCTCGCTTCTGTCAGCCTGCCCCAGTGCACGCCCTCATTAAATATACCGAAGATATTTTATTTTCTAAATCAGCTGACTATGACAGTTAGAAATTGTTACAGATTTAGATTTGATCCTATATATAACAACGTATGTGTGAGATTATGTCACATTTAGGGAAGATTTTTTCCATAATACCATGAAATGTCATCTATCACTTTCAACCACAAAAATCTAACCTGATTATCCCAAGGTGTAAGTGAACATTTGATCTAAATGACATTCCCTTGAAACATTCCTAAGATATCACATACAACAAACAGATGGATAGGCTGTGATAGTTCCACCTTCAGATACAGCAAAGAGGGATCGAATGAAAATTTGTGGAGACCTTCATGGGAGCAATTTGTAATAAAGCAGCAGTTCACACTTCATGACAATGACCCAATGTTATTTCATCAGCTCAACAGAATTTTAGAATGAGTGCTAAATTAATATTGTTTGCATATGAACATGCTAGGTGAACGTGGTTAACAACATACACAATATTGTCGTGTTACAGTTTGTTTCTGTGCTTGTTATCTCTTTACTGAAGAGCTACTGATGAGTTGCTGAGGATCCCTGAGCAGTTGTTTAACACAGGAGGTTCATATGTCCACAGTAAACATTGGTAATTCAAGTGTTGATGTAAATGAGCCAAGTTCATTCAAAGTCAAGAAACAGCAGCAGACATTATTATGTTTCCTTCTGCAACCAAGTGGCTTTCCTGTGAACAACAGCCTTTCTTTGTCTCCTCCTTCACACAAGGTTCCCTGGGGAGGGGGACAGAAAGCTGACAGCTGCAGACCACAGTCTTTTACAACCTGCTACCTGATCACCCCTTATTTTAAAGTTCTTCAGCTGCCATCCTTTACTGGTTATTCATTCCCTTCTCTTCTTTAACACAAATACCCAAATGGGATATTATAATGATGGCCTTCATTCATGTTTTTGCTGCAGTTTAACACAATTTCTTGATCCTATAAGATGTGCCTGAGAGGCATTTTGAAATTTCAATGATTTCAAAGAATTTGCATCTATTGGGTTTTTTTTCCCTCTAAAGAGCTAAAAGCCATTTGGTGGCGTGATCCTCACAGCTGGGAGCGGCTGCCCTGATTGCCCAGATGATGGTAGAAGGCCTTTACTTTTCTAAATTGTAAATCCTGACTCTGAGGTCAGTCCTACAAAGTGCTCCAAACAGCTGTGTCATCTGCATGTGCACAGTGATAGACAATAATGATTGCAGGTGAAGTCACCTATGCTTCTGTATCCACCACACAATCCATTACCTTGTTACTTAATACCTCCACCCCCACACATGTAGCTGGGGACTGAAATTTTATACTGGTGGGAAACCATTAAGAGGAGGGAGGAAACTGCACAACAATTAAACCCTTTGGTGTATTTAGTGACTGTTGAAAAATCTCTGTGCCACAGTTACGGCAGATGAGGCGGGCAGCACAGCTCTATCTCAGCAAAGGCTCAGCAGCTGCAAAGTGATTTGTCAGGTTTCCATTTGCAGAGTGCAAGGAAACATACAAATCAAAGAGACAGACAAGATAGTGACATACTTGGCAGAGATGAAGTGTCAGAAACAGAGAGGAAGTAAGACGGCATGCTGAAGAGGATAAACTCAACAAAAAGCATTGTGTGTAATATTAATGTCACTCTGTTGCAGTTTTCCGAATGGATAGTAACAAGTTATTTCCACTTCCCACCTCCTCCTTATCCCCTTAACTCTGTCACACTGGTCTATTTCCACTTTCCCAACAGAGAGGAAGAACGAGAAGGAAGCGTTGATGTGACGGGCAGCTTTGGCAGCTGCTCCAGTCTGCTCTGCTTCCAAGTGTGTTCACACTTCAGATTGTGTGAAAATGAGAGAAAGAAAAAAGACAGAAAAAGCGCCCACTCCTCCCACCCTTCTGCCCCTCCTCCATCCTCTCTGCCTGAAGATATTGAATTCAGTACAGAAAGTTTTCTTCTGATTCTCCCCTGCTGGGATTGTGTGTGTGTGTGTGTGTCAGAAGGGCAGCCTCCAACACTCATGCCTATCAAACAGTTTCCATAGCAACATCTAAGAAAAGTTTAGGCACAAGGACACCTAAAGCTCAGAGGAGTCATCACCCCTTGACCCCAGAGTAAACTGTCCAAAGCTGGGTGACTTTAATGAGACAGGTGGAGGTTTAATGGAGGACTGTCATGGTGTGCTAGCAGAATGGCTCTCAGGGAAAGCAATTGACACACTGCAATGTTAGATGAGTGGCAGACAGGAAGGACTGATAAAAAAGGCTCTCATATATTTTAAATAATGTTTAAACCTGGGATAATTTCAGAAACATTTGGAGTGTAAAGTAGAGAGCACGTGCACAGGTTACAACTGAAATTTTATGTTTGATTTTATAAAACAGTTATTACATTAATGAAACGCATGTATTTCATGTCGAGGGGCCCCGTTTTAGTGTGACATATATAAAAGATGGACATGGACGCTGTGACATCACTCCCTATTTTTTGAACTACAGTTTTCCAGCAACAAAATAATACAAAAATGTATTTACTGAAGGCCTTAATAAATAACTACATATAGTATCTTTCATTTCAACCAAATAAAGTGAGCAGGACAAAACATTCACTAGCTGGGCCCACGTCCTCATTTTAGGTTTGACAGTGTTTTAGTAGGTAAAGGTGAATGCTTGGACATGAACTGGGCTGCAGTTTGGGGAAGGCCTTGAAGGGGACTGGCAACGGCTCCCGGGCCTGGCAGATCCCCAAAGAAGACATCCCCTAGAAGCAGTATTAACTGTGATTTACGAAAGTCCAAGACCTCAACGGTAACAATTCAATTATCATTTAAACTTATTCATACAGGACCAAATCACAGTGACAGACACCTCAAGACCCCACAATAATGTCTAGAGGAAAAACCCAACAATCATATGACCCCCTGTGAGCAATCACTTTGGCGACAGTGGGAAGTAAAAACTCCCTTATAACAGGAAGAAACCTCCAGCAGAACCAGGCTCAGGGAGGGGTGGGGCCATCTGCTGCGACCGGTTGGGGCGAGAGAAGGAGAACAGGACAAAGACATGCGCAGAGAGAGCAAATGCCAGATGACATCGCCACCCAAAGGAGAGGAAAATAACTGGTGGCAGACTAGCGAAGATGAACAGCGCTCAATAAGGTGGTCGAGGATTCCATAGTGTGGAGTGGATGAGCTCGGATAATTAGGAAGGAATGGCAGGAGAAGAGATCAAAATTGTGAACAACGGAAATCTTAATAGTGCGCTGCTTGTGCTGTTGTTGTTTTTGGTGGTGATGTGTACAGCTGGCAGCAGGAGGGCTGCAGCTGTTGAATGTAGGCTACTGTTACAGCAACCGGGTGATCACTGTAAGTGTGGCAGGATGAATGTTATCCCTCGGTCCAACCCACTTTCAGCCTGGCCCATTAGGGGGCGCTGGTATAAATAGTGGCCATTTGAGTGTCTCTGCGATCGCTTGCCTGTGATCTCCTTTTTGGTCACCTGACTTCCTCGGTGTGGTAGAGATCTTTGTGGGTTACTGCTTCTGAAGTCTCCATCGCGGCTGGTCGTAGCTATAGAAGCCTCCTCTGAGCTATTCGGCTTACATTCTATGACACGGCTTACTTGGTACGTAATCAACTTTTGTTACGCTCTCTGCCTTCTATTGCTCTTTTATAGTAATTATTTATTATGTTTCGCAGGAAGTGTGGGCCTTAGTTTTGCGCCAAGCTACGTGAACTGAAGTGCTGCTGTTTTGCCTTGCTGTGCTTTTATCGTCTGTTCCCGTTGTGAGATTTCTTTCCCTGCTGCTGTCAGCTTTTACAGTGGACGTCGGCGTGGACAACGGCCATATGCATGCCGGTTATCGGAGTCAGCTGGCGTGCATATTGATTGACTGTTAACTTGTCGTTGTGTGACGGCAAGTTGGAGCAGTACGGCGATTCCGTTTGCTCCAGATTTTAGAGTTTTATCCAGATTGTATGTTGTTTTATTGCTTTTGATTTGTAGTTTGGATTTTTGTTACACCACTGGTGGGAGGCCCTTTTTCTAGCTGTAGATCACCAGTGTGGTCCTGCAGTTGGGTTATCCCCCGGTGCTACACATTAGTTTGTTGTAATATATTAAAATTTTCTTTGTTTCTTTTATTCAGATGCGGAGTGCCGACGTGGAGGAGACTAGGGTGCCTTGGTGGTGGGATCCCTTGAGTGTACACACCTGCCTTGTTTAGTTTATTAGTGTGATAGTGTGCTTGCACCTTGTGTTTTGGGTGTGTTTTCTTTCTTTAGTTTGTGTGTGGCATCCCTGCCCCTCCACTGGTAAGCCTCAGCTCTGAATACCTTTTTAAGCATATTTGTACTTGAATATTTATGATTGTGCTTTTATATGGTGTTTTAAATAATTATTAATAAATTGTGAATTTGTTGATCATTGAACCTCGTCTCTGGACTGAGTATAGCGAACCTAAGTGCCTTTTGGTGATTTAGTGTTACTTACAGTATTCTCTGGGTGAAATTCCCAGGGTGGCGTTGTCATTCTTTAAAACTGTGAAGAGTAATTACTTTATATCCCATCCTCGTCTCGCCACATAAGGGTGGACAGTGCGGCTCGAGGCTGGCGCACCAGCGGGACCTGCCAAGCCGTAGATGGAGGTCGAGGTGCGCGGGGGTCCTGCCTGAGGGCGGCATGCTGTCCGCTTCGGCACGCAGGCTGCATGGTCCTGCGTGCCGGCTGTCTGCCCAGCTGCCTCTGAGCCCTGGCTCACTTCCACTCCTGCTGCGCCGCCGCTGCTTGCCATATGGGTGGCCATCAGGCCAGCTCCCGGGCTTCCGCTGGAGGCGCGGGCGAACCGCCAGAGTGGACACTTCCCCGTCGCTGGGCCGGGGCATGGGGCGCCGATGGTCCAGGCCGATTCCCTCGCCTGCTCGGGGGTGGGGTGAAGCGGGCGATGGGGGTATGTGGCAGGGCGTGTTCTGCGATGCCGCTGCAGGTTTGGTGGTGGAGCAAAACAAAACAGACGCACTAGAAGGCAATAAACAAAACATGAGTCCAAAACCAAAAAAAGACAACAAAGAAACACACCAGAGCTCAAGAAAACAAAGTCCAAAACAGAACAGCTCAGGGGGCCGACTGTGCGGACGGCAACGGCGGCGACGAGCAGACAGTTCAGGGTGCCGACCGTGCGGACGGCAACAGTGGCGAAGGACAGACAGTTCAGGGGGCCAACCGTGCGGACGGCAACGGCGGCGATGTGGAAGCAGTTCAGGGAGCCGACCGCAATGGCGGCGACTCAGGCGAAGGGGGTCTGGGGGCTGCCCACGATGGCCATGGCACCCGACCAATAGCCTGGAACGTGGCCGGTTAACTGCAGACCCAGACATAGAGGCTGGACCAGGCGACGCAGAGGCAGAAGCTGGACCAGGCGAGGGTGAAGGCACGGAGGCTGCTGCAGGCGAGGCTGAAGGCTCGGAGGCTGGACCAGACGAGACTGAAGACTCGGAGGCTGCAGGAGGCAACAGCGTGAAAGCCGGAGACGGAGGTGCTGCAGGCAGCGGCGTGGAAGCCGGAGGTGAATAGCTGTTCATTTTAGTGTCTGCCACACAAAACACAGCCCCTGAATGAACAGTCACAAAGTCCGAAAAAGAAACAGAGTCCTCACTCACCACAGCCGGTGATTTAGAAGTCCAAACGTCCGGCTGTGGGGTGGCGCGCTGGTGGCGCGATCGACGTTTCCTCCCTGCAGACGGCTCCGACGGGCCGGGCAAGATCACATCCGGCGAGTCGGGCAGCGAGGCAGGAGTGGCTGAGAGAAGGTGAAGGGTGTGCGGGAGAAACGCCTGCATGGTCAGAGGAATTGATTTCAGAAGCCATGGCAGGCCAGAAAAGAGCCGTTGTAATCAACTTTCAACGGCGCGGCGAAGCTCCCCTGAAGGGTTCTCTAGCCACAGCCCGAGGAGGATCTCCACATTATAACCGATGTTGTCTGGGAGCTCCTCGGACTGATTAAATGCCGCAGGGTCCATGTTGGCTGGTTCGTACTGTCACGTCCGGTGTGGCAGACGTGTGGGGTTGAAGATAGGACCCAAAATGCGGCAGCTCTGGTGCAGGTGAGTATTTATTAAACAAAAGAAAATACAAACAGCAATGGCGCGGGAACATGAAACTGGAACCTAAACTGGGCAGAGCTAACAAAACAAACCAGAAACATAGATGCAGGGAGGACGGATGGAGAGATGCAGGGAGACCGAGGTAAACAACACAGATGAACCAGCCACGACTAAGACAGAAGACACGACTTAAAGACACTCAGAGAACACAGGGAGATTACACACAGGTGGGGGACACAGCTGGGAGTGATTAACGTGACGAGACTAGGGAGGCGAACTGAAAACACTCACATAAGACGCAGACCTTCACAATAAAACAGGAACTTACACATGCAAGGACACAGACTAAGAAACGCAGACTTGATACAGGAACACACGGGCAGAACAGAGTAAACACTAAACAGAGGAAGAACAGAACCAACAATCACACTAATAGAAAACACAAAACGCTGGGTCAAAAGGACCCAGGACCATAACACATATTCAGTCATGCTTCATCTCCTGCTTTGCGTTTGTCCAAGTGTTGTTGTTTTTTCCCCCCCCCTTTTCATACCGCGTCCCCCCCTGCAATGGCTCTTTGGGAAGGTCTGTGTTAAGCTATGCTCTCTCTATTTATGGTAATTCCACGTCGGTGGAAACTCAAACAAAACACGCATTAAGAGGCTCTAATGCCTGTGTCTCAGTCTCGCGGCCCATGTCACCCCTATGTGCGGCTCGCATAATGACGTGAAGAAATATTTGTAAAGATTATTATTCAAAAATGATTTAATAAGAAGGCAATAGGCAGAGTGTTACAGGCATAGCCCTAAAGAATGTAGCCTGATGGGCAGTGTAGTGCGTGCTGCAGAATGGACTGCCATACCCGTTACGTGTCTGTGAGCTCGAGGGAGGGAGAAAAAGAGTCGAAAAGTGCGAGTTGTCACCGAGCAGAAACAGGAGATGGAAGCATGTAAATATAATAATAACCACTGCAGCCAAAAAGAGAGCCTGACGAGCCCAGTTGTAAGTGAGCTATTAAAACTCGACTGTACGCCGTGTTCGTGTTTTCCTCCAAAAACAATAAGTTCCGTTGGAGCAGCCTTTCAACGCCTCTCTCTGTCTCTCGCTAGCAAAGTTGGCCCAGAAAACAAAATAAAGCTAGTTTCACAAGCACAGGAGGGACTCAGACGCAGACTAGAATCACAGAAATCAGTTAGTTTATTTTCTTCACACCGAGTGCCACTATGTACAGGTGATGGAATGGGATTTGGGGTCTCCAGGGGTCACAAGGGCAGTGAGGGGAAAACACGCACGGGTAAGTCACACACAGGACTTCTCCCCCTGGGGATTCCTCTTCGCGCTCACACCGCACCAACACAATACACTCACAACAGATCAGCAGCAGGTCCTCAGGCAGGGCATGCAGAGTCTGGCACGAAAAGAGGAGATGGGTATTAGAGTAGCGCTTCAAAGAGAAACTTGAAGAAAGCTAATGACTACAGGAAACACTGACGAGGGTTACACAATAATCCAGCGACGAGGCATTCCCAGCATCTGACTTAGGTAGTGAGCCCATGAGAGTGTTGATCAGATGATTGTTTGCAGGTGCGGGAGCCAGTGGCGGAAGTCACAATGAACTCCGCCCTGGTAGAGCGCAGGGCACGAGAGGGGAGCGAGAAGGGACAAAATAAACAAAAACACTTGTAGCCATTCTGAGTCAACCGAACGGGCACAGGGACCATGCCAGTATCCCCCCCCTTCAACGGGAGCCTCCCGGCGACCCACCTGGCTTACCTGGATGCAGACGGTGTAAGTCACGGACCAGTCCTGCAGCCAGAACAGCTGACCGGGGCACCCAGGAACGTTCCTCTGGCCCGAAGCCCTCCCAGTCACCAGGCCGAGAGTCTGTTATCTTTGTACACACACACAGACATAAGCTTGTATAAATAAAGAACACAGACAGTGATACAGCGCGAGTCTGGAGTACGAGTGCTCTATGACCGTCCTTGCAAGTAAAAGACAACTGCAGTGTTTGTGTTTTCTAACTCAGGTGTCTCAGCTGAAGAACTGCGGGGTGATTTTTAGAAATCCCCTGTCAAGAGGCGACGAGAAAAAAAGGCACATGGGTGAAGTTTATCTTCAAATTGCTGGGATAGTACCGCTCCCGCCCCCGTGTCTGATGTGTCCACTTCCACCACGAAATGCTGCTTGAGGTTAGGCTGACGGAGGATGGGAGCTGTGGCAAACTTCTCCTTCATCATGGAAAAGGCCTCCTGCACAGGCGAGTCCCACTGAAAAGGAACCTTTGGAGAGGTCAGTTTGGTGAGGAACACAGTTTGTCCCGTACTTCAGCTAGAATGGAAAAAGACACAAAGCTGGATTTATTCTGTGTGTTTACGCTGCACAGCTGCTTCTTCTTCTCTCATTCTCTCTCCCTCCCTCTCCTGTTGCTACTTAAATCATAAAACTGATCAATGATCAGCTGATCAGCTTTTCTGACGCAAGTTCCGTCTCTCTTGTTTGTTTATCGCCCACTTTGTGCCAGAAACAGGAACCCAATTTGCAATTGCAAATGATGGAAATAGGGAACCTAGCGTCCCAGTGCTAAGAATCACTGCTGCTTTTGTGATGCAAATGTAGAGAAACTGGCAACTTGTTGATAGAAGCTTGCTGCTGCATTTGCGTCAGGGATAAAGAGAGAACCTGGCATCTCGGTGCCAGAATGGTTTAGTACTGATTTTTGTTTTTTGGGTTTTTTTCTTTTATACTGACGGCCAAAGAACCTGCCATCCCACTGCTAGTGGGATTTGTTGCTGCTTTTGCAGTGATGAACGGAGAGAAACTGGCAACGTGATTGAAGAAGCTAGCTGCTGCATTTTGTGAATGACAAATATAGAAGAACCTGGCATCCCAATGCTAGAAAGATTTGCTGCTGCTGTTCCCTTTGATCTTTATTTTTTATTTTTTTATTTTTATTTTTTTTCCCGCCTGTCCCATTTGGTTCTTTAGCCATCAGAATTGTTGTCTGAAGACCAACAAGG